TATGTAACTATATCTCATTCAGCAATTGTAAATCGTTAATTTTTTTAATATTAGTAGATTTTTGTTAATTTACTAATATTTCCTTTAACCATTCCGACTAAGTTCTAGGCTTGTGCTAGGATATGGTTCACGACAATAGTCGAATGGCGAGATTCGAACCCTCGACCGAAAAATCGGTAGTCCGTACCACAAACTATTAGGCTATTGGCGCTTATTAATAATTAAATTTTAAATAATTATTGTTTTCATAAAGGTATTTTTAGGAGGAGGTAAAAGATGGAAAGGGGAGTAATGGGAGGGTATTTCGCCAACTACTACGATAAAAAAACGATCAAAGTGATCCCTCTATGTTACATACGCCCTTTTTAAATTTTACTTTTTTTTCTCTTTCAAAGTTAATTGCAATGAGGATACTCAAACATCAAACGTTGTCCTTACCACGTTTTTTTAACTTGTATCCTTTGACGGGACGCTGTAAAGGGATCGTAAAGGTACCGTAAAATTAAACAAGATTGTTTTATTAAAATCGTATATTTTTACACAACTAAGTAAAGAATTTTATAGTTTTTATTACAATTTGCATAAGAATTGAACTTAAAAAAAATCGCCTACAAACAAAATTTAAAACTTTTTTATTTCGCAACTTGGATGAAAAAACTTCGACATGCAAGCTTTCAGATTAAATTGTTAAGGCCATAAAATCCTATGCAAGAAATTGCTATGTGCTTAAAGTTTTATAAAGTTACTAGCTTTCGCCCGCGACTCTGTCCGCGTGGCATTGAAAAAAACAAAAGTGAATAGCCTATGTGTTCTTCCGGACTATCCTCCACTTCTATGCCAAATTTCATCGAAATCCGTTCAGCCGTTTAGGCTACAAACTCTAACAAACATCCATCCATCCATCCATCTAAACTTTCGCATTTATAATATTAGTATGAAGTAAGATTAGTATGATTAAATGCGATCGACATTTACAAGCGATGTAGCATGAGCTTAGTCCAACTTGATTGAGACGAGCTTTAACTATAAGTTTTAGGTAAACCTAGTTTCACACGAGGGTAGTACAACGAAGCGGTTGATATTGCAACACTGCTATTGATTAAACATAACTAGTTAGAACAGTACTGTATATCTATTGCTCTGCATTATTACCCTCGTGTAAAAGTTTGAGGTGTGAATTTCCTTATGAGATAATACTCTAAATACTCTAATAATTGTCTTCATATGTAACTATTAATTTGTAATGTTATATGTTTATTTTTTTAGTATAGATTTTTACGGCGTTTTTAAAATATTTCTGTCGATATACTCGAAGTATTTTTTCGAAATTTCGTATCAAGAAAGAGCTTAGAATACTTGTTTAAAATTCGAATATCAAAGTTAAATTGTGTTTTAACTTATTCAACTCTTATCATTTAAGCAGTTCAAGTTACGTAACTGTGAATTCGCACATGAATTCAGACACGTTCCTGATAAGACGAATTGTATTATGTTATCAAACTCGGATACAAAATTTATAACATTTAACCTTTGAAAGGAGCGTCGGTGGCTCAGTGGTTTGAACACTTGACTTGTAATCTACAGGTCTTGGGTTCGAATCCCGCCATGTACCAATGTGATTTTCGATTTTTCGAATTTCATATGTACATAATTTACCCGACGTTCTTACGGTGAAGGAAAACATCGTGATGCAACCTGCACATATCGGCGAAGAAATTCAAAAGATATGTGTGAAGTCAACCAACCCGCACTTGGCCAACGTGGTTGACTATGGCCTAGTCACCCCGTATTAGGGTAGGCTCCGAGCCCCTCGGTGGGGACATATAGTGAGCTGGTGATGATGATGATGATGAACCTTTGAAATATTAGCATAAGTACAAATGTTTATGATTTTTGTAAAAACATCGACTATGCTTCACTTACCATCATTGTTTAAAGTTATCATATCTATACTAATGTAATAAAACTGGAGTGTCTGTTTGTAATAAAATATCAAAAGAAAAATTCCACATTTCAGATGGATGATGACGAAAATCGCATTTTTTTGTTGTCTGTCTGTTCGCAAGCCGTTTTTGTTCCGGGTAATCTCTGAAACGGCTGGGCCGATTACGACAGGACTTTCACTGAAAGGTAGCTGACATAGACGGGCATAGGCTACTTTTTATTCCGGAAATAGCTACGTTTCCCGAGATACACTGCTTTCGATTTTGTTAATCCATGTGGACGAAGTCGCGAGCAAAAGCTAGTTGAATTATAAAATGAAAAATAATTCCAATTTACTTTTTGTATAATTTACCCCCTTTTTACTCGTATTCAAACGTTGGTAATAATTGCATCCTTCATAGACAAATAGCAAACTTTAAAGTTATAAATCTAAAAACAAAGTATTAATTTTAAACTAAATATTCTTATTATGCAGGCTTTTAATGAATAATATTATTTTTAATATAACATGAGTCTAACAAAATCCTTTGTGTAGCTTACTCTCTTTGCGGATGAAAAGCTTGCATTTTCTTAATTATCTTGCAGATCTAGAGAAAAATAGAAAGCGAAACTTACCTTAGCTTAGTAGTCGTAAAACCTTACTTAGTTTCAACTTAACATTTTTTACATTTTAAGATTATTCAAGCCTATATGCCTATAGATGTGTCTACGTAAATATATCACTATACGTCTCCACTGAGGGGCTCGGAGCCTACTCTAAGTAAGAGGTGGTTAGGCCTAAGTTAGCCACGCTGGCCAAACGCGGGTTGAATAGGCAATATGCAGATGACGCCAAATTGTACCAAACTTTTTTAAGTATACTTTTTTACTATAAAAACAGTCCTGCAAAGATTTTTTTTAAATATAATGTGATTTAGTGGCAAAATTTAATCATTAAAAAGTGTCTTTTTTCAAATTCCCTCGCTAAGTTCTAAAACGCACACTATTGGTCGAAGCAAGTGGCTTATCTAATATGGCGTCGCTGTGTTGACAATACACAGTTCAATTACGTTAGTTTATATAGAAATACACTCTTGAAGCATTTTATTGTAAACACGATACCAAAACCAACTTGAAATAAAAAAATAATGAATAAAATAATTAATTACCACTTATTTGTACCAGGATTAATAAAAATTAATCGGTTTTTGACTTTTTGACCTTGAGAAACATTGTTGCATTCTATGTCATCAACATATTCACACATGTCTTTGAATTTCTTCGCCGGTATGTGCAAGCATCACTATGATTTCCTTCACCGTAAGAACGTCGGGCAAATTATGTACATATGAAATTCGAAAAGTCGATAATCTTTTTTTTATAACTTAAGGTGGCAAACGAGCAAGCGGCCGCCTGAATCCGCCAAAATGGCGAAGCGACCGCTGCCCATAGACATCTGCGATCGCAGATGCATTGCCTACCCTTATCCGACGGAGGAGACTCACATAAAGAGGATATTGTCCTTTCCTATGGATCTCCTCCGCGGTCAAATCCACTTCCCCTTCCTATCCTCTCCTTATAAGAAAAGGGTAGTACAGAAAAAGGGACTTAAATTAGGCCTCCGGCACCTCACTCATCAGACGAAACATGCAATTGCTTCCATTTCACGCCTGTCTTCTGAGTAGTCGTGATATAACACCGCGCGTGCCAGCCCATTCGTGCTAAGATGTTAAAGCAGACACTACCACTGTTAAACTATCACATTGCTACACGGCTAAATTCGAACCCAGGACCTCTGGCTTGCAAATCAAGTGCTGAAACCCCTGAGCCCCCAACACTCTAACATATGGATAAGTTTAATTTGCATATAATATTCCAGAACCATATAAGCTATGAATAATAACGAGAAAGTAGAGGACTCCACAATGCGTAAGCAAGTCACGACTTTAAGGGGTGTTTTATATCGGAATTAGGTCCGTGATGAAATTTTAAAGGTCCCACAATCGCACTTTAAATATAGGCTGGTGTACCAGGTGGTTGCCGCTATATATTATCTACTAATTTACTTTTAACTAGATACAAAATTTTACCAAAGCGAAATTAATTGTTATATTAATACTAGCTGTTTCCAAACGACTTCATCCGCATAAAATTATGAAAATTTTATTTTATTGTTTCTTCTTTTAATGATTAGTGGACCCCATCGTTATTTCGATTCTTTCGCCAAGGTCAAGGTTGAAAATAATTGATAGTATAAGAAACAAGACTAAAATTTTGAGTAGCAGTTAACTAGATAGACGGAATCCAGTGTGATTGACAAATGACCGGTAGTATTTTATTGTTTACATTTGTAAAATTATCAATTGCAAATGTCAAAATGACATGGCTTTACAAACCTTGGCAATCTTGTTTCCTTGATGTTGGCAGCAACTTATGGTCTCTTTCCCACATTAGGATTTTTATCCAAAATATTTACCCCCTAAGTTCAATGGCGTGTAATGTATAGCCTAAAGCGTGACGTAAGAGAAGGGCTATTTATTAAAAAAGGAGATATTCGAAAATTTGCTGTGATTGCTGACATCTTAGGCAAGAGAGAAGTGTGTATTTACGCTTTATTATAACAGTATAGATTAGGCCTTGATTTAAAATAAAATTGTGTCAGCTTTTTTACTTTAAGTACCTGCTGACAAGATTGACTAACCTCATTGCAAAAATGCAAATCGCTATCTGTGCAACATTACTAAACGCAATTTGTATTCCAAACAGGTAAGGTAAGTCATTCCACAGTCATTGTAAATGCCGTTTAGTCTCCAAGTCGGGAAAATAATTTTAACATATCAAAAATAAACTTTATCACAATTCCATAAAGTTGAAAACCGTTTAATTTGAATGTGTGACGGTGGACTGTAGAATATTTGTAAAAAAAGAACTTTATTGTAACGGATAAAGATCGAACTTAGATTGTACAATTAGTTATGAATGACGAAGCCAGCTGTGGATAGGCGAGTGAGTCATTCTGTCCCTCTCAACGCGTTTTATGCGCGAGCGCATTGTGCTACCGTTCGTTATGTCAGTTTGTGTACATTTTCTCAGTACGACAGACACCGCCGTCGGTGACGCACGTATATCGAACAATCAAAAATTGGCGCGAATAACATTTAAAATAATTTCGATAATGAAATAATTTGCAAGTGCATTTGGGATGACTGGTACAATAAATTATATCGTACGACTCGTTGTACTGACAACATTGTATTACGTTTTGTTGTGTGTTTTTAAAGAAATACGTCGTTATTTGACTGAAATTGATTTGTCGGTGTCTTGAATAACTTGGGATTGTTTTGATTCAGAAACGATAACTGGTAAGTAGACTATAAATATTTACACATAAGATACGTACTATTTAATTTTGCATGGTTTTAAGTCACGTAATTCGCGATAATAATCAAACATTTTCATCTCAATTTTATACACAAAAAAATAAATGTCACGGATAATACATTCCAATATTTCTCCTTATTTAATCTGTGTAGTAATACAATTATCAACTATGGCTCATTTAAAGAAAGCAAATGTTTAAACCCGTTTGTCCTTAAACCCGCAGTCATTTAAACTGCTATTGTACATTTAACAAACGATTATTCAAGGCAGTTAACACCATCTTTAATTGGCCACCATTGTTAAAAATACGATGTGTCACCCACAGAGGGTACACCAATTAACTCGTTTAAATGAACAACCGCCGTTTAAATATGTCCAATCAACCAGAAGCATAGCTTGCTTCAAATTATAAAAAAAAATGTTAAGAGCTCAAGAAAATGTTTACACAAATTTATAACTAACCAATAAACGTTTTAATCAGCGTTGTTAAAAATATAAACAACCAAGAAATACGTGACAATAAAAATATAGATGTCAGAAAACTCTGACAGCTCCACTCAGATTTCTTTAATACGTACTAATAGCCCCCTTATATTGTGTCTAAAGAAGTTAGATTAGTTTGACAATTCACTTCAAATTTAGTAGGGATGGGTTGTGTAATCAATCATGAATCTTATCGATTTTCGATTTTCATTCTTATAGAAGTTGGAATCGATAGATTTATAGTTATAACTCATAAATTGAAAAAAAAAAGCACTGTTTTCTCAAATTAATAATGACCATAACAAATAATGAGAGTAAATAAATGTTTATTACTACTACAGCCGTACGTAATTGAATTAGATTTTGCTATTATTTCCGTCATCGCTAAATTCTCTACACTGTCCTTTAAATTACGAATTGTCCTTTAAATTAGTTCATAAGAAAATAATAATTTTAGTTGAGTTTGATAATTATTTAAACCGAATATCGATAGTTAAAAATTGTTCGCTATGTGTTTGTTCGTCACTACGATACCTGTCTATTAAGTATGGCATTTGCCTTCATACAAATTGAATTCGATAATTCATATGCGTCATTTATCAAACTAACCTTATTTAGACAAACTATAGTGTAGATTTAGCGTCAGAAAATTAAGCGACTCTTCAGTTCTACTTGTAATGTTTATCCAAACGCTAATAATATTTAATAATGTTATAAAATATTGTTCTACAACTCACGAATGAGGCTCAGTTTACAACACTAATTGTAATTGTTTTGCTTATTCTCTTAGCGATGGAATTCAACGTGTTTTATTACAACGAGAAATGCGACTGCTGACTACGAACTAAAATATTTCTCATCGTACAGTTGTAATTTCAAATGTTCCGTGAATTGATTTTATTCATGTTATGATATGTATGTTGAAATATATGAGACAATTACTCACGGTTTAAGGTAAAAGAGTAGTCGGAAATTAAGATTTTGTGCGTGGAATATACGGCAACTACCCTATTGCTACTTACTGAAGAAACATCGTTCGTAGAAGAGAACAATAGTGTCTAGGTTTTTAACGAATATAGGATAGACATTGATTTTTGATTAAATTCACCAGCAAAACATTTAACCTGTATTAGTTACTAGCTGTTCCCGTGCGACTTCATCCGCATGAAATTATGGAAAATTTATTTTATTGTTTACATTTGTCAAATTATCAATAGCAAATGTCGAAATGACATGACATGACAAACCTTGACAATCTTGCTTCCTTGATGTTGGCAGCAACTTATGGTCTCTTTCCCACATTAGGGTTTTTATCCAAAATGTTTACCCCCTAAGTTTAATAGCGTGAAAATATATAGCCTAAAGCGTGACGTAAGTGTAGGGCTTTTTATTCAATAAAGAAATATTCAAAAATATGCTGTAATTGCTGACATCTTAGGCAACAAAGAAGTGTGTGTTTACGCTTTATTATATTAGTGTAGATATTACAGATATTACCCACTTCCTGAGAAATGACTTCCCGAGGAAGTGATTCGTTATTGAACCAAAACAGGGGAGCTGAAACCAATGTGTTCGGATGTTGAGTTTAGAAATAACTTGCAGTACCGTCAGCATAAAAAACACTGTGAATTTAAATCAGTACAAAATGGGTGCTATTACTTTGTATATGTTTATTAACTAATTTAGTGTTATAAGTAAGTTATCAAACATAATTTTACCGAGAATTGCTTCAGCCAAATGTCATCTCTTTTTTTTATGGGCGGCGCTATGCCGCCCTCTCTTTCCCCCTAACATATTTGTGGGAAAGGGACGTTGGGTGCTGGTGGAAATGACATGTCTTTGATCCATTCCTAATCTTAGTAATATTAGAAATGCGAAAGTTTAGATGGATGGGTAGATGTTAGAGTTTCTAGACTGAACGGATCTAGATGAACTTTAGCATAGATGTAGAGCATAGTCTGGAAGAACACATAGGCTATTACCTTTTTTTTAATACGACGCGAACGGAGTCGCGAGCGAAAGCTAGTTTGGAGATAAAAATATCTAGGATGTTTAGATAGTAACAACGGTTGTAATTAAAACTGAGTAGATATCGTAATAACATCTGTGAAAAAAAAAATAAAAAAAGTATAAATAATAAGTCGACAAATATCGATTAACTTTTCTCAATTGAACTTTTAGATACAGAATTATAATCAATACTAAAATATATTAGTCTACGAATACATTTCAGTCTAAAAAGAAGTTTGTTACAAAAAAAAACGTAAAACTATTAAATTCATAAATATATTTACAACGTAAATCTTCAATGGAAGTGTTGAGTTTCCGTCGAGTTGACAAACCGTGGAAACAACAGGAAACCGACTGATCACCGACATTAATTTTAGAAAATACCAAGAATACGTTAATAACATCGAAGCCGTCCTGCGATCAAAGGTTTCTCGAAACTAAGATACATCAATATGTTATTCATAACATTATTATAAACCGGTTGACGTTAAATTATTCAGTGTGTGACGTAATCTATACTATTATAATAAAGCGTAAATACACACTTCCTTGTTACCTAAGATGTCAGCAATTACAGCATATTTTTGAATAACTATTTTTTAAATAATATGCCCTACACTTACGCCACGCTTTAGGCTATGTATTTCCACGCCGTTAAACTTAGGGAGTAAATATTTTGGATGAAAACCCTAATGTGGGAAAGAGACCATAAGTTGCTGCCAACATCAAGGAAGCAAGATTGCCAAGGTTCCCACATTACGGTTTTTATTCAAAATATATACCCCCTAAGATAATAGCATGAAAATATATAGCCTAAAGCGTGACGTAAGTGTAGAGCTTTTTATCAATAAAAGTATTAATCAAAAATATGCTGTAATTGCTGACATCTTAGGCAACAAAGACGCGTGTGTTTACGCTTTATTATAATAGTATATATTGATTTATGGTAAAGCACATCATAGTAATGTCTGTAAAATCGATTCAACGAAGCGCATGTCATGACTCATTCTGTTAAGTAATTTAATGAATAATGTTCATTTTATAGTTCGCATTATGCAGTTATTATCATGACTGAAGCTTAAAATTAATTACTGTACGTGATTAGCATATTGCTAATGTTTAATACACTATTGTAAGCAGTAAAGAATTGCTTGCAAATATTTTTCTACGGAAGACTTTGAAACATTAAGTTGTCAAGTATCATATACAAACTAGGCTACGACAAAAAAAAAACAGAAAAATAAATTCCGTGCCAAATTTAATCGAGATACATTTTTTTAAACACAAAAAATAGCAAAATCGGTCCGTAACCATCGTATCGATGTTCACACAACGTTAGTTTTATTTTCATAAGATAAACAGAGTAATCCTAATTTGGTGACAAAATTGAAACTTTTGTATCGTGACAGTTTGTTCCACACGTGCGCAATCTCTCACTAATGAAAAGGAAACATGACAGTATGTTGCGCACATGTTCCAATAGAACTATGCAGCGAACACTGAGAGGATCCTCTTGTAAGTACGTGGTAGTTTGAGAATTTAAAACAATTGTATATATCTGCTTGTCTATAATAATGTAATAAAGTGAAAACACTACTTCGTGGCGTAGAATCTTAGCAATCACTGAATATTTTTTAATAATTGTTTCATTAATAAAAAGCCCTACACTTACGATACGCTTTAGGCAATACATTACCACGCTATTAAACTGACGGAGTAAATGAATTAAAAAAAAAAAACATCACGTGGGACAGGAGCCATTAAGTAAAAGCTACCAACATTAAAGAAGCAAGGTTTGACGTTTGCCTTGAGAATTTGACAAATGTAAACAATAAAATGAAGTTTTTATAATTGCATGCGGATGCGGGAACTGCTAGTAAATTATATATCGTATAAATTGTACAGTCAGCTGCATAAATATATACAATTTACAAATATACATTTACAAAACTTGTATAAGTCTTTGGCTTTAAGAATTTGTTTGCATATGTCCGTCAATAACATGTATTTTTGTTAGCATACAGAAATATACGTTTCTGAAATTAAAGCGTATACAAGTTTTTGTAGATGGCTTCATTTATGCAGCCGATTGTACCTTTTTTTAAATCCATTTGACAATTTCTCAGTAAAGGGAAGTTGTATTGTTTCTCCTATCAACAGTAAAGAAGTGCAATTTAACCCATTTAAAAACAGCATTCATAGTATGAAAATTTATATTTTCATAATTTATGAACTTTCCTTTAAAGAAGTACCTCTAATGCCTTGAAACGGTGAAATATAAATAATTTACATTTGAAGTACGTAATTTTAAACTATAAGTACTTTAAGCCAAGATTTCTATAGCGACACCACATTAGACCTTTCTTGGAACATAATTTGAATTTATAATTACTCTGTTATTAACATAACGACTAAGAATTGCAAATCAAAATTAACAAAAACCCTTAATGCTTTATGACGCATAGAAATTTCTTCAAATATTGCGGTA